TTTCCCCTCTCCACTTGAGAGTATCTGGCTGGGCTGCAATGAGGGTTTTCTCTTGCTTCCTTGGGCTTTCATCTGATCTAGTAATTTTCTGTTCTGATCTGAAATCAATACAAAAGCTTTTCAAGGAATTTTAGATAATACTCCGTATCTTGTTTATAGTGAATCTCAAAAAAAAAAAACTAATTCATCAAAGAAACAGATGGAAACGAGCCTGTAGTTTCGGTAATGCACAGCCGCGAAGAACTACCCAGCTCAGTAAGATGCTCCGGAGTACTTTGTAATGTACAGCAACACTGGCAAAATCCACTCGACACAAGTGGTTCCAGTTCCAGCGCTACGGAACAGTCTATGGCGTAATAGTCCAAACGGTACGAAGATCCTTTCGCTACGAAAGGATGGATCAGGTGATCGGTGGGGCATGTGTTACTATTTCGGGTTAGTACTAGGCCAGCACGTGAGGCCGTGGGGGGCTACCAATCAAAACAACACCACGACAAGCGACATCATAGCGCTGTAGATCTATTGAAGTTTCCCCTATGATATGCGACAGCAAAGTTGGGTGGTACACTAGGTGGAGGCTATTACGCTCACTGTGGCAAGCATTCACGGCTGGTATGATATATCGTTGTAGTCTTGATACAGCTGGCAACCCCCGAAAAGGAAATTGATAGACGATCCTGAGTCAGGTTCATTTGTACTCTGCCACCTTCTATTGGTTGTTTTTACAAGATAACCATTCTAACTTTTCACAGTAATTATTTTTTCCTTGGTCTGTTCGTTATTAGGGCTAGACACGAACAGCGAAATACAAAGTTTATCTACGCCTAACAGTGTACAGACACAATGTCTAGCTCGTTATCAATTCGATGCGTTCGTGTATTTATTGTAGAAGAAAGGCAGGCCCAGAGTATATGGATTTAATGGCGTGGGCGGAGGCCTCAGCAAAGCCTTTCATATTCAATCCCCAACGGCAAACTTGCTACGCGCTCTCAACTTCGCGCCATACAAATAGATAAAAACCATCCCAAAGATACCGCCGACCGATAGACCCGCCAGCACGGTAACCCCTTTCCCAATTCCCAGGTCAAGATACATATACCGCGCGAACATGACGAAGCCTGCAGCGGTTATGGATCGAGTAACGTCGCTCGCCGCATAGAGAGAGGCCACATAACGTGGGTACGACAGCGGTACATGGACGATGATCGCTTGAAAGACGACAAATGACGATCCGGAATATATGGCGATGCCGATGCATAAAACACCCCCGGCTAGTGCGCACCCAACAATGAGGGAGAGGTATATCAAGCTCAATGTGGTTTGAGGCATTTGATAGATACTGCCATAGGCAATGGGAAAAGCCTCGAAGAATGAATAATAGATAGCATACACTAACGACGAGTAAACGCACATATATGCGATGGCTGGGGCTTTGACTGCGATTTCAGGTGGCTTGATCAAGGCGTCGATCAATATGGCCTGGAAGTCAATCGTTTTGGTTTCAGCTGGGGCCACAACTGCTGGGTGGAAACGACGGAGTCGTTGGGCTCGACGAAGCAAAATGGTTTCATGCGACGTCTCGGGCAGTAGGCAGATAATAACGAGGAGTAATGGTGCGCTCATTAGAACAATCTCCCACAGAGGCCAGCGCCAGTCGGGGGTCACTGCATAAGCTGACAATAAAGGTCCCAAGGCCGGGCCACAATAAAACCCAGTAACCTAAAATATGAATCCATAGGGGGCGTCAATCAGCGAAAACATATCCTGGATCGAGGCACCTCCGCTGGCTAAGCTCGGACTGCTGAAGAAGCCCTGAAGAAAGCGCAGTACGACGATGGCTGGAAAGCTATCTATGACTGCGAGGATAATAGACACGATCACAAACAGTATAAAGGATAATACATAAGGAGGGTTACGACCGCTACAAGCGATTTCACTCAATGGCGAGAAGATCAAAGGGCCGACACCGTCTGCTGTGAATTAATACCTTGACACCGTGACATAAAGTCAAATTGAAAGAATTAGGGATGAAAACTCACATCCGACAACATAGATCGCCAAGGTTAGTTGAACAACCTCTATAGACACGCCATATCAAAGAATCATGAACTCATAACTAGGAATGAAAATGGACGATCCAGAATAGACGATGAATGTGTAAACACTAGTATCGGTCAGTAGATGTTCGATTTCAAGGAATGTATGGCACTTGCGAAATGAGAATTATCACCCATGATTTACGTCCCAGAGACCAATTTAAGGGGTTTTCTGGATCATCAGGCGTATACCAGTCGATGATGAAGCTCTTATCAGCTTTGGTCGCAGTGCACAGCTTCTCCGCATACCGAAACGTTTCTTGACCGCTCTCAAGGTCCCTGTGGGAACGCTCATCCAAGCTTGAGGCACTTGTGGCCTGACGGAAGTCGAATGTTGGATCGTCTTCAGGATAGCCCAACCAGCGAGAACCAAACAAAAGACGAATGGCATCGCTTAAGACGGTACCCCGTATCCAGATTTTCATGACGGTGAACTAGAGTGGTGCCTACCTCGGGGTAAAAGAAAGGTATAGAAAAGAAAAGAAAAAGAATGAGTATCCGTATTTTTCTTTTTGGCTGTTTATGCTCTGAGCTGGAACAATCATGAATATCTTTCATCTAAGCATATAATGAAGCAGTACATGGAATTTCAGGCATGAACAGTGTTCATCTTGATCGAGGCTATTTTTGTGGTATTAGCAGACAAGTACGTCTCACAAGCCACAAGTTTGCGTCTTCAATGGCCATGATACATGCACATGTGGCCACCGTAACCGAATGAAAGGCGACCTCGTGGAGCTAATTTGCTTAATAGAGACCGATCCCAGCAAACACCACTTGAGAGTCACATTTGGGGTCTGTCAGCTTGCACGCATAATTCTCCACCAAATAACAGGAATGAGCCGGTTTATGAGCACCGCAACCGGGGAACATTGTTTGGGAAAGCCTGTATACGCAGTCAGCAACCCTCGCAATGATGAATCTATCTTCAAGGCGAGGTCGAATCGGAATTAGCGCCAGATGATGGAACTCCACCGCCACCAACCCTATTTGCACTGTCCCTTCTTACTAACTTGCTATTGTATACGTGGTACCAGTATTGGTGATAGACATTGGATATTGAGGTGAGATATCCTCGGGCAGACTGGAACCCTGTATTAGAGGCACAGTGCCTTACAAATGGCCATTATGGGGATTTTTACTATCCGATATTGACTGTCACGGTTGACATTTCGTGGAAACTAGCTAGTAAGGGAGAACAAACAGAAAGACATTTCCATGACATGATTCCCAGTGACACACTATCAATAGTAGGGAGTCAACTAAGGCTGTGTCACTGATTTCAAGTGGAAAATTGAGCCTTTAACTTCATTGAGTGAGGCCTGAATAAGTCTCACACTGGTCTGGTTAGCATGATGCTAGATCAACTTTTCTTGAAGATCCGTCGCCTGTCGCTCGGAAGATGCTGTTCGGATCTATCTCAAAAATAAAAAGATTGCCCTAAGGTCTGAACAATATCTATTATTCTCTATCTAAAACTGTCTATAATCAGAATCGACCAACGTTAACGCAAGCTGTTAAATTATAATTATATACCGTGAAGATTTTGAATGCTGAATGGTAGACACCAGTCGAGTGGGTAAGCATCCAAGCAGGGACTTGTCGTAGCAAGAGCCAAAAGAAAGCCAAAGACGATGAATGTCTTCATTTGCTCTTCTTAGCCTTGGGTACTCGACTGAGCCAGTACAGAGATATGGCTGCAAGTATATTAAACGCCACGTACACCCACATCAACCCGAAATCCCTCCATCGTGTGGAGAAGTCGATATTGACATGTTGCAGAAACTGGGTGGTGTTTCCTGTAGCGCAGAAGAGGCAATCTTCGCCCCCTTGTGCTTCTGAATTAAGCAAGTAGCCCCCATTCGTCGAAATATAACCCTGCATATACTCACCGCAGGTTAAGTTTGCGGGAGTAGAAAATGACAAGAACTCATTTTCGGCGCAGTGCATTGGCGCTTCACCGAGACTGGTTGATAGCAAGCCCGATACTAGGTACGTAAACGGGTTGACTCTGTACATGAATATCCAGAAACCAGGAAGAGTGTCCGGGCCTGCAAGAATTCCGCAAAACGCATACATCATGATAGCTAATATGTTGGAGAGACTCGAGGCGATCTCTTCACTTTCGATGCCTGCGATTAACATGTGCGCCAACGAGCTGGCGAAGAGAAAGGTCACCCAGATGAAGAGGAATGCAAGGGTGCTCCGAGAGTGCAGCGTGTCGGTGTACTCAGCGTTGTGGAAAAGGCCCACGGGGTAAAACCAAACAAGGAAACAGAATATAGCCATGATCTAGGAGATATTAAGGTCAGATCGAGCAACAGGCATTGTACAGAAGATGTGAGGATAAGACCCACCGAGTTCCATGCAAGTTCAACTAGTATGTTGGTAACAACGAATGCTTGCCACGAATAGGTCTTGGATTGTCGCTCCCGAGCTTCGTAAAGGGTCCGTTGTGTTACGAACGAGGGGATGATCTGGATAATCAACTGAATGACGACGAAGAGGAAGACGAAAACACCGAACATTTGATTCTGTAGGCCTTGAGCTGTGTTGTCGGCTTTGAAGAAAGAGAACCCTATGAAGAGTGACTGGAGAACAGCTCATTAGAACCCAGTGGAGATATAAGTCCGTGGAGAGAATACTCACACAACCAATAGTAAGCAAAACCTTGGAATAAATATATGCTGGTGTACGCCAGTACTGTTGGAACACTCTTAGGCCAACTTGCATAAACTGTGTTGCGAACGGAGCTGCGAATTCCGCATAGCTGGATTTGTCGTTAGTATCTGAAAGGGGCGATGGTTGATTAGCCAAAGCTCTCAAGTTTGAGAGCTCATGGCGCACGTTCTGATATTCAGGACTGTTTCGCCAAACCGCAGGCCAGTCGATCTCACTTTTAGCCCCGGGTGCGGCGCCAATCACCTCAAGCATATGCTCTGCTGGGTTGCTGCCGGGTGGCAAAGCAGGGCCACCATTACGAGTGAAATAGTCCATCAATATTCTTGACTCGCGTCCAATATCACCAAAGTAGACAGTTTTGCCTCCCTTTGCCAGAAGAAGCAGTCTATCGAAGCGTTGGAACAGCATGGCAGACGGCTGGTGAATGGTACATAGAATAGCTTGTCCGTTCTTGGTCAGAGTCTCCATCAGATTGCAAATTGACCATGATGTTTGACTATCTAGGCCAGAGGTAGGCTCGTCTAGGAAAAGAAGCAGTTTCGGACGTGCAGCCAGCTCAACGCCAATTGTAAGGCGTTTTCTCTGCTCCACGTTAAGGCCCTCTCCAGGTATACCAACTATAGCGTCAGCGTAGTCTCTCATATTGAGGAGATCAAGGACTTTCTCAACATAGTCCAATTTTTCTTCCCGTGTATACTGAGGCGGCTGTCTGAGCAAGGCACTAAATTCTAGCGCCTCACGCACAGTGGAGGTATGAAGATGTAGGTCTTGTTGCTGTACATAGCCTGTTTTGCGTTGAAATGAGCTGTCCCTCGGTCGGCCATCGACGAGCATATCGCCACCAACAACCCCAACTGTAGTGCGGTTAGCCAGCACGTCGAGAAGAGTGGTCTTTCCAGCACCGGAACTGCCCTGTGAATTGCTTGTGAGCTTGTCATGATCGGGAATATTTCAGTAAAAGTAGCTTACCATCAAAGCAGTCAAAGTGCCAGGCTTGATCCAACCATCAACATGATCTAGAATCCGGCGAGTTTCACTCTTGATATTAACATCATAGCATACATCTTCCCAGTGAAAGATAGACGTCTGTTTCTCCACACCTATAGTCGAGTTAGGTCCCTCGCTATGCTTCTCGTTTTGGATGGCAGGGGCTTGCGTCCGCTCCTCATCGTGCTGGCATTGTTTTGTCCTGGCTTTTTGTGAGCTGCCGCGGCGAAACACAAGAACCTCTCCCTTTGACCGCTCAGAGGCAACTAGCTCTGTTGCAATAATTTGGCACAGTGCGAGAAAGACAGTGAGTGCGAGAATAATACCAAAATTTCTCCAGCGATGACTGTTTTCATATCCGTACGTGGATTTAACGAAAGTCGTGCCGTCAACGAGATCTGATCCTGGAACAGACCCTACGACAGAGCAAACGCGCTCGTCGTTGGAGATACTCTCGTAACCTACCCCAGAAGGGACGAATGACGCACAGGGAAAAGTCCTCCCGTGAAATTCATTGACCATTATAGCTTCGAAACCATATGCGACAGGATTTAAGTGCCGAATCCACGAAGCCCATCCACGCATATATTTAACTGGAATGGCAAATCCAGTATATAGAACCAGAGCCATAAGGATGATCGATGACGGAGCCAAGGCCTGCTGAATGGTTTTGGTAAGTGATGCAAAGAGGCGGAAAAACATCGACATGCTCATCACCATCATGAAAGAGATTAGATAATTGAAGAAGAATGGCCCGGGTTCACGACGGAGATTTGCCATGAAATATAATGTTATGTTCATCAATATCGAGTTCACGATTTTATATGGCATATCCATGATCATTGACGATATGGCCTCCGCGCTAGGGTGGTAAAGGGCATATCGGTTATGCTTTTCCACGATTGTTCGTTTCGCATACAAGCTCAAGATTTCGAGCATGCTGGAAAAGGCATTCAAGAGAACCATCATAAATAGAATAGCCCCACGGGAGAAGAACGATGAAGTATTCCCTGAGAGATTGTAGAATATGCTCGAAATTATCAGCGCCTCAAAGAAATTGTTAATAAGCATGACGATCGTAACACTTGGATCATTTTTGAGACGCTGCAATTCCCTCCACATACAGAGCCGAATCTGACCCCAGTATGACAGAGTATATGGTGATTTCTGTCGTTGGTTCTTTGACTTTTCTGTCTTCCGGGATTGGACAAATCGGTCAAGATCATCTCCATCAAAGGGATGTTCATTAGCGTACTGATCAATTTGGCGTAGCAAGGATTGGCGTTCAGGGCTCTCCTTCCAGCGTTTAGCAAACTCCTCGGATGTTCGAGGTGCCAGACTTTCAAAGCCTGGTCTGATGATGCGTTCGGTTGGACTGGACATCGATGTGAGAAAGTCAGCAGTTGTCTGAGACTCTGGGCATAGAAAGCCGAGTCGTTCAAAATAGCCTTTAGCATCATGGGCGGCGCCGAAAAATATCTGGTGTCCTTCATATAAAACAATAACCTTGTCGAAAAGCTACCTTGCTTGTTAGCAGAGTCCAATACCTTGTCATGGCTTCCTGGGCTTACATTGTATGCAGCTTGAGGAGCCTGGTAAATTGCGACACACGAGGTCATTCCAAAAACATCGCTTTGTGTCCGTAAGGTTCTGCAAAACTCCACTGCGTTTGCACTGTCCAATCCTCTGGTGCTATTATCCCAGCACTGTAATGGGGCATAGCTTAGTGCAGCCTCTGCGATCGTAACCCGCTTTCTCTCACCCCCACTGACACCACGCACAAAGTCATTACCGACTCGTGTATTGACAGTATGACTGATTCCAAACATGGCCATAATCACATCTCGGAGATGAGTAGCGTACTCCTGGGAACTGATGCCACCCGGAAGGTGACGAGGTGCACGGGCAAGGGACGCAAAGTACAGCGTATCGCCGACTGAGAGCTGCGGGTAGTGTGCATCAACTTCAGCGGTGTATATAGCCTCGCCCCGAAAATCGGTTGACATTTGCTTCGGAGTTATGCCATGGTAGTTGATGTAGGCTGCCGGGTCTACCTGGAAGCCATGGGTTTCACCGGCAACAGTTTTGAGAAAAGTTGAACAGCCTGATCCAGGAGGGCCAAGGACACAAAGTTGTTCACCAGGAAGAACTAGCCCATCAAGACCTTGGAGAATGTTGATCTTCCGTTTCTTGCCGCCAAGAAACTGATATATCTGTGTTGGCAACTTCAGCAGGGCATTTCCAACGCTCATTTGGTAGTCCACAGGACTACCGTACCCGGAAACGTTCAGGTCTTTGAACGCAACTCCAGCAACTCGTGGTGGACAGTTTTCATCGGCATTATACCTGGCGTTGTAAAAAGCTTTCGCCCAATCCCTGGCACGAAATTCAGGACTGTTGGGGTCCAGACATCCACCCTCTCTCGCTTCAAACGGGGAACGATGGTGAAATTTTCCAGACTTTGTGCTCAGTTTGCGCGCTAGGTTTGTCAGCTGTTCGTCGATTTCCGCTTGATTCTCCCCAAGTTTATCTTTCTGTTCAAAATCCGACTTTTGACTGTTTGCGTAGGTTTGAGTCCCTGAACTAGTACCTCCGTCCATAGAGAGGGCCATATTCGAGGGAGGCGGAAGCGGTGGCTCATGCCCTCCGGGGAAGATCATCTGTAGGTTGGATGTCTATAGAGCTCAGAAGAGGGATCGAACAAGGAAAAGTAGGCGACCAACACGAGGGCAACGTGACTGTTGCCTCTGAATAACAGATGTGATTAAGGGTCCGCTTAGCTTCTGAACTCATAAAGAGATGTTCGTGTCAAGCTACCGAAAAAAGCGTGTATGTATGTGTCGAGAGGGTTACTTTATACGTAGATTGGGGGTGGCCAAGCCACAAGAAATCCATGGCGATCAGAAAATATCTAGCAGTATGTGTGGACCAGCTGGGCCACTTAGAAGTGAACATCCTCGTGAGCGGAGGCCAAGATATCGGATTCGGACTCTTGGCCCAGGGTGAAAGCTCCGCCAGTGGGTCAACTACGTAGTAGCGCGCAGTGAATACGGTAAAAACCCCCTTTATATGGAAGCAATTGAGCAAACTATCTAAATTGCTTATACTGAAATTTGCTGTATAGACTAGTTGAAACTGGAATTTTCAAGAATCTAGATAATTTGTATTCTATATTTAACAATTTTTCTGTGTAGTAAAGGGTATTCTAGTCGAGATTTATAGGGTGGTGAAGAAATATCAATGATCATACATATATTTTCGTTGCCAAGTATGGTCTAGAACTAAAAAATAATATTGGACAGCACATACGCACTATAATAGGCTGAAAGGACCCACTCTACTCCCTTATTAAGGAGTTTTGTATACTTATAAGTAAGTAGAGTACGACGTATTAGGCAGATTTGTGAAATTTCCCTATATCGGGGATTTGAGGAATATTGTATGGTATTCGATCTCAGACACCCGATTGGATTGCTAATAACACGTGAATTCCCTATGTCGGGGTTGCTTATAAAGGGATTTTTACCGTACATCGGTTGCCTGCCTCTTTGGATGGCATATCCAATACCACGGGGGGCTGAGGATGAATCTCGGCGTAGTATCGGTAGAGCCGAAGTCCGGACATCACGGCCGGGATCCAGACTCCAGCACATATAGCAAGATACATTGTTCTTGGCCCAAAGTTAAGTGGATATTGTGGCGTAGGTGTACAGGCAGCCCTATGGGAGACCACGGAGCCCGCGGGCTCCGATTCCAACAAGCAAGATGCGGCTCATATTAAATCCTATGCCACTCAAGGTTAGACACCTGCCGACCTTTTTAAAATCGTTTAAACTATGTGGAGTCTTCGGACTTTCGGAGTATAAAGATTTGTCCGTGTACTACGGAGTAGTGTCAATGAAAGGGTTTCAAGTCCGTCACTTGGTGACTCGGTCTGCCGTCCAGGACGAATGTCGACTCCGATGTCTTTACCCGACCAATCCCTTTCAGTGGGTGCTCTTTCCAACCCAGTGGTTCTATTTACGGAGCTAAAATACAGGCAGTGCGAAAGGTGTAGAAAGAAAAAGGTATCCACTCTTCACAGATGTATACCGCAGAAATTTTAGAGCTTACCTTGCAACTTCTACTACCGGGCAGATCGGTTGTAACAAAGCGCTGCCACGATGTAATCGATGTATCGCATCCAATGTCGACTGTGTTTACCCGACACGACGTCGGAGAACCAGAAGATCAAGGTCTCCATGAGTACATGCTTCATATACCACTATAAAGAATGCTAACCTTGACAGGACCGTGTACCGTGCAAGGCAGAACGACGGCGCTTTCAATGGAGCATTATCTGACATCCTCAGACGCCTGGCTTCATTGGAGCAATCTGTGACAGCAGCGCCTACTCAGCCCCCTGTAGCGGATGACTGGAGAAGCCTTCCTCCCCCGAATTTATCCGCGCTCCCCCACAATGAAATCCTAGAAACCCCTCGGAATAATGGTATGTACTCTTGAATCCTAATGAACTCAATCAGATGGTGTAATGTATCACAGGTAACTATAATTTCGTTCCAGATTTCATCCAAGAACACATTCCCACTTCTCATACCGAGCAAACTACGCCAAATATCCCGGTGTTCAGCCCAGACACTGGTGGGGCCTTACTTTGGGACGATGCATCCATCACCAAAAATATGGCCACCAAATGGGTCAATGGTACGGTTTTCCAGCCAGCCCAGTTTGAGAATGCTTGCGAACTAATCTCTCCGTAGTATTTTATGATTTATCATGGGGTCCTGAGCTTCCTGTGGGAAAAGAGTTCCTCCTTCGTCTTCCTGATCTGTTCGACCTCCCACACGTCAGGATCGACACATCCGCACTTCTCCTATACTATACCGTTCTTCTGCACGGGCTATTCATGGATCGAGGCCTCGGTCACTGGAGAAAAGATCATGCCTCCTATTTGTACAGAAAATTGCTAGAACATGCTAAAGACTGGGACTTCGAGGCACAACCTACTCTCACAGATCTTTACACCGCACTTCTCTTGGTACGTCGCGCTGTCCTAATGAACCACAACATCTGCCCAACAGACCCTAACCTAATTGAAGGTATTTACAACAAATTGGCTTTTCGACAGTGAGCTTTCGTGGAAATTTCATTGCTCTGCATACCGCATAGCCTGTAATCTAGGCTTCTTTCTGCTAGACGCGGACGTCGATGGCAACTGTCCGTCCCCCCATGGCCTGTCACCTCATAAAGACCAGATGCGGTTCTGCATCTGGAATTTGGTGCACAATGACTGTAATTTCCGGTTTTATCTTGACAAGCCGGGTCTTGTCGATCCTAGCACAATGGTCGTCAAATTCCCAGAGCTATCCACGTGGAATCCGAACGAAGGGTTAAATCGATCAGCCCAAATAAATTTCTTGGTGACTACGCGCCTCACCTTTACGAAACTACGATTTTTCGATATGATGGATGATGCACGGCAAAATAGATCACAGCCATGTGACCAGTTAATAGAGAACCTGATTAAGGAGAGTCAAACAGCCCTTACAGACTGGAAAATAGTAAGTTGACGTAACAACGTAGTGAAATTGATATCACACTCACACCCATATTATTCAGGATGAAAGCCTTGGAGCAGCAAAGTATAGCAGCAGCGCCTTGTTTCACGACGAATTAATCCAAAACGCTTGCACTACCATCATTTTGCTGAATCGTAAAAGACCGGTATCAAACAGTCTGACTTCGAAAAACCAGTCGCTTGAGGCGGCAAGGAGAGCAATTGAAACCATGAAGCGAGTAATGAACATTGATTCGACTGGCTCGTACTGGCCGACATGGTACGTTGTCATATTGCAAAGTATCGAACGGAGTTCTTTCGCAGCTGACAATTCTTTTCCCTTTTACTAGCTACTTCTCTCTCTACTCGGTCGTCACTATCCTTACCATATTCGCTAATATTCTAGAGACAAATGAGCCTGCAGCCATCGCTCATGACATGTCCCTCGCGGTGTGGCTCGGAGTCATGTTAGTCGAGTGGACAGCCGAGCGCGAGGAACTCCGACCTGTTGAGGCAGCCGTCAGCACGCTGAACGACATATGTCGGCAAGTCAAATTGTGCACGTCCAGCATACAGGTTCAGCCAAACAATCAGCTTGTCACGGATGTGACACCAGCTGACGGGTTGATGCTCTGCCCTAGCTCGATCCAGACACTCAATTGTATCGGTATCAAGGTGCAAGAACTTGTTCAGAAACCATATGAGACGATGTTGCTTGTCGAACGGTGGATTTACTCTCAGCGCCCTAGTATTCCTGAGATATGATCATTCAAACTGCACATTTATACCTGTTGCCTTAAACATTGTGAGCGTTCTCGATTTTGGCAAGCCGTTCAGCTTCCCCATCATATCAATACCTCTCGAATTCCTTATTTTGTGAAGAGCTTTGGGGATCTCTGGGATCTTTCTTAAGGGTTTGTCTATGAAAGACCTTAATTTCCGGAGTGATTGTTATTAGATAGATAATTCGGTCAGGGTATATAGATACAAGCAATTTTCTCGTTTCTGAGGCTCGCTCAATGCTATACGAAAAACAAATATATATATTTAGATTTCCTTCAAACCTCTGCTAGTAGATTGACTTAGGTAGCTTGAATCAGGTGTTTTTAAATATATATTCTGCCTTCATATCGTTTGCTGTCAGACTTCGTCATCCATATGCATTATTTACGTTCCTGTGCTTTTGATGTGTTGGAAATATTATAGTACCGGACTAGACCAATCATTACCAATTGAGCAGGGGCATGCTGATGGTACTGGACTTTAGGTCATAACTATGTGTACTCTGGTATACAATGACCCCGGTCGAGACGAACAAGCCTTGTCAACGTGTCTGCCATGCAATCCCCAAGTCATCCTGTTGGTTTAGCCCTGTGTCCGTTGATATAGGGCCGGTAACACCAATTCTTTTCACGTCACGTGGCTCAGCAGCGAAAAGACTGGAGGTTGATAAGGATATGTAAGGGCAAAAGGGAGGGGATGAGGGATGGTGGTTACTGGGGCCATTTTACAGGACAAAACTATGTCTACGAACGCGGTCCATCGGAGCATATTGAACGATCAATCAAATTCCCTGGGAATCAACCCGATTATTGCTCCGAAGAACCCTGAAATAACAAAGGAGGTCGTGACAATCATGAAAACTACAGAAAACCCAGAAACGCCGGTTTGGCAAGAAAGAACCTAATTCCCCCTATTATTTGTCTGAGAAGTAAACTTTTTGGTGGACTATCGCTTTAAGCATGACACTTAAGCAGCAAGCTCACGGATCTTCTGCTCAACGCGAGCCTTGCGCTCAGCGTGGGTGAGCTTCTTCTTCTGGAACTTCTTGCTCTCGGCCTTCCACTCCTCCTTAGTCTTCTTGGAGCCCTCATCCTCATCCTTCTTGAAGGGGTCCTCACGGATGGCCTTGTGGGCCTCAGTGTAGAGGTCCTCGATGTCACCGGCCTCAACCTCGTTCTCAAGGTACTTGTGGAACTGGCCGCGGTAACGCTCCTCATCGTCGTCAGCAAGATTCTCCATGTACTCGGCGACGTGGCCACCGAAGATGTAGGTGCGGAGGGTCTCAGCATCGAGCTCCTCAGTCTCAATGTCGAAACCGGGGAAGCGGTTCTCGGAGTGGGGGACGAGGATACCACCGTCGGAGGCACCCTTCATGGCGGCGAAGACACGGGCACCGGTGGAGGTACGAGCAAGACCGACATCAAGGAAGGCCTTGAAGGGACGGCGCTCACCGTCATCGGTCTCAACGGCCTCGGTGAGAGCGTACTCACCATCAGCCTCCTCGACACCGGTGAACTGCTCGTCAATGCCCAGCTTCTTGAGGGTACGGCGGGCAAGGAGGAGACCGGTGGCGTAAGCAGCAGCCCAGTTGGTCAGACCGTTGGTGATGCCATAGCGCTTGAGCTCGTGGGCGTAAGCGCTGGCGAAAACCTTGTCACCAGAGATCTCAGAGTAGACGATCTGGGTGATGATGTCGCGGTTGGTGAAGCGGACAACGAGGCGGTACTTGGGGGCGTTGTACTTGTTCTTGGCCTGGGTGATCAGGCGCTTACGGGCATAGTAATCAGTCTTGCCCTCTCTGCGACGGCGGTACTTGGTCTGGTAGCGGCTGTAATGGGTATTAGTATTCGGCCCACAATGGTAAATTTTGGATATCTATCAGTAGGAAAGACTCACCTGTAGTAAGCGCTGTTCTTGACGAGCTTGTGGAAAGGCTACAAGAAAGACACCCGAGTCAGCAATTTGCGCTTCAGAGAAAGTTGTATCCGAAGCATCTTGCAAAGACCCGCTCTCCCAGTCCCACAAATCTTGTCCACGGCGGAACAAAATTGAGACTAGTCAAGGGAGATACTGGATAACACAATAAAGGTGATCATCCATCTGAGATAACAGCAAAACTCACCATTTTGACTGTTTGCCGTTGAGAACCGAGTTGTCGATGGTGGCTGAAGAAAAAAAGAAAAGGGAAATTGGTGGGATGACTTTTGTGGAAGACTCTCGCTTAGCGCCGTTCTGCATCCCGCCGCAGAACTGAGGTTGGCCACGAGCCCGGGAACAAAAAAGTTCTTTAAGACTGAACTGACTATTTTTGTACCCATCTTCGGGATTTAGTGGCTTGGCAGTGGGCCCAAATGATCTTCAAATTGTAAAACCATTGGTGTGATTCAACTGAGAATATTGTGATCTAAAATATCGACATCTCCAGTATTAGGATAAAGTCATGATGAGAATGTTATACATATATCTTGTGTATAACATTGTCATCATGTATGTATGTATGTTGAATAGCTGCGTAGTGTAAGTGTGAGGGAAAAGAAAATGAGAGAAAAGAATGGTTCAAGTGACAGCTATACAGCGAGTGATAATAAATATATGTATACATTGTGGTATATATGATTTGAAATCTTGTAGAGATGAGATAGGAATTGGTAGACTCCAACCGCGTCACTTCAAGTTGATATTAAAGAAAACGTTTCTACTGTGATGTTCAGTCTCATAATCGTATAATCGACCTTGAAGCATTCGTAGATTATAAATGTGGCTTGGTGATGTCTGAATTTGCCCAACCATCCCTGTGCTGCAGGAGGCTGTCTCCACCACCTCGTTGAATCGTGGCTTTGATACCGGGGCCCTTGATGGTACCGCCCTGGATGTCACAGTATGTGCTTCACCCGTGGTATCCATTTAATACTTGCACCCCAACTAGACGGTTGTCTCTGACCATGTGCGGAAAGAACGCGGAAGCGGAATGACTAGTACTTACTACTAAAGAGATAGGCTGTTTTGCATTGACAGCAGTGCCTTGAAAGCCAAAAACTATTAGCCCACAAATGAGTGGGGTTCGGATATATGTTTCTTATCAAAAGCTAATCTTATATCCGCACGCTTCTAATACATAGACTGTCGAGACGCGGGATTTGATTCGGGGATTGCTGCATCATGCATCTATGCGGCTATGCCCCGTCCGTTGAAAAGGAGCTGATACCTACAATGCTTTTCGGTTGGACATCAATCTTCATATTCGATCAATCAATCAATCACCCAATATGGCCCCCGTTTGTGTCGGCACAGTACAAGCTGAACCGGTTTTTCTCGACCTTGACGGTGCCGTCACCAAGACCATAGACATCATTCGGCAGGCCGCCGCTAAAGGCGTGCAAGTCTTAGCATTTCCCGAGGTTTGGGTCGGCGGGTATCCTTGGTATGTCCCCATGGCACCCCGCAGAGTGAACTAATCCTTATGCTTATGGATGAGGCCAATCTGGGCACAAAATGCATTCGAATCATCCGAGTTCTGTGCAAAGTACATTGCACACTCTCTCCCCAGGGACTCCGCGCATATGCGTCGCATCCAAGCCGCATGTCGAGAGCATTCGATTTTCGTAGTCCTAGGCTATAGCGAGAAAGATGATAGAAGCGGAAGCATCTACATCTCGCAGGTAAGTCTCCAGCCCAGGTAATTGTATTGCGTGCAGTGCTGAATAGCTGTCCGCCCGACAAGGCTTTCATTAGCTCCACTGGCGAAATTCTCCACAACCGCCGCAAGATCAAACCTACGCACGTAGAGCGCAGTCTGTGGGGCGACGGGCAGGGCGACTCACTCAAGTGCGTGGTCGACTCGCCCTTTGGAAGGATTGGCGGTCTGAACTGCTGGGAGAACCTGCAGCCCTTGTTACGGTACTATGAGTATTCACAGGGTGTGCAGATACATGTCGCGGGATGGCCGTCTTGCCCATCGCTTGAGAAAATTGAAGTTCCCTATCCGTACGGGTGTACTAGCGAGGCTTGCCTACGGATCAGCCAGATGGTAGCGCTGGAGGGTCAAACATTTGTACTATGCTCCACGGCGATCCTGAGTAAAGAGAAACATGAGATGATGGGACTTAAGGACAAGGGAATCTTTCATGAGGTATGGAAGTCTTCCGTGGTAATTGCCTGCCTGTAGGAACCGGATATGAGCTAACGTGTTGCGGTTACTAGGATGATGGTGGTGTGGCCATGATCTTCGGTCCCGATGGTCGGCCATTGGTCGAGCCCTTGTCTCGTGGAGAAGAGGGGATTTTGACAGCTGTGATCGACTTGGATATGATTCATGTGGCCAAGAGTCTCTGCGATCCAGTTGGGCACTATTCTCGTCCAGATCTGCTGAGTCTCAGGGTGAATTCGGTGAAGGCTGAGGTAGTGCACCAAGTCTGAGCAGACCACGGGATAAGTTGAGGGCAGTTTCGGTGGCATAGCGATATGGTTGAGGTAGAGTTCTCGTCTAGTCATCTTCCTTTTAGTTTTCAATATCTACTTATCAATATATACATTCTACCCTTCATCCAAGCTTTGTATCATGTTCATTGAAAGACATACAGTTCCTGTAGTAAGTTTAGCTATACTTCAATTAATTTCGGGTAAGAAGCTATTCAGTAAAATTATCTATATTATCTGGAACTCTATAAAGCGGTGATGCATGTTTTTACTGCTCGTGAAGTGGACTAAATCTAGAGGCTTAGTGATTTTCTCTGCCCTCGATTGATTTAAGGGGTAGACTTGACTGTACTGTGTATAATGAGTTTTAGTTAACATACCATTCAAAGTGGACTCAGCTTGGCGAGGCAGGCAGCTTACTCTGTAGCTAATTATTTTCTTTTCTTTTATTTATTTGTTTATTTATTTTTTTTTTTTTTTCCAACTTCTTGAAATTGTTGCAATAACTTTTCTTTTAGTAACTTCATTCTGATTAAGTCTCTATAAATATTCGCAAAGCAAGGAAAGAAATTCCTCTCGCAATACTTTACAATCTCGCCCGATCGGATGCCTCCAACAATGAAAGCCCCGTAATCTTCTCCAACTCCTTGACAGCGTCTTGGGTCCGTCCCAAATTCACCTTAACCGTCCTCATCCCCGCTTTCTTAGCGCCCTTCAAATTCTCCCCAATATCATCAAAGAAAACAATGTCTGAGGCCCCAACCTTCCTCAACCCCTTCTCCTGCGCCAACCGGTTCATCTCCCGAATCGCAAATTCATAGATCTGCGGTTGCGGTTTCCTGAGCCCCGTATGCGCCGACGAAATGAAGAAATCAAACTGCCCCTTCACTCCACTCTCATCCACATTGTAGGGATGCCCATCGGGAAAAACGACCGTATTCGACAGCGCCCCCAGAATAAACTTCCCCGAAGCCTTTAATTTCTTGAGCGCAGGCGCCATGTAAGGGTCCGGCGTTCGGGATATCCGCATCATTTCCCAGAAAAGGAATTCCGCGTCCAGCTGCGGGAGTGGGGGTAATGGTGATGACGATGACGGGGCACCAGCAGTAGACTGCTTTTTCTGAAGTGTTTCGTGGAATTTCTTCCACAGATCTGGGTTGCTGAGATCTTTATTGAATGCTTTGAAGAAGTCGGCGTCTAGTTTGATTTCGCCGCGTTCTAGGCGGTGCCAGCTGCCGCTGGGGGCGGATCGGGAGATACTGAAGTTTACCCATCCTGGGGGTATTTTGTTGGCGATTTCGTAGTCGAGAATAGCTTGGAATGGGGAGAGGACCTGGTTTTCTTGGTTAGTGATGAACTCGTTCGTTCTTTCGGGGTCGGTATAGAGGCGTACGCAGACTCCGCCAATGTCGAAAAGTAGGCCTACGGGCCGTGTGGTTTCGGCCATGGTGGTTCGCTGATTGAAAAGGGCCTTGTGGCTGGTAACTGTGTGTGACTGGTTTTCTTTCGCGAAGACCTTTTTTTATAAGAGTAGAATTCAATTGCTAGGGATGAGATTCGTAACGTGTATGCGGAGAATATTTGGGTTTGGCAGATGCGCTGATTAGATTGCCGAGGTTAGATTTGAGTCCTTATCAGCCAAGGATCGAAGACCGAGGAAGAAAGTACGAAGTAGTGAAGTAATACATCCACTAACACAACAAAACCAATTCCCTATAATTGGATACTGTTAGGAAAGGAAGATGGGCAGGAAATAAATTACGGAGTGGGAATTATTAAAAAAAAAAAAAAAAAAAAAAACAAGAGTGTCTACTCCGTATACGGTATACCCCACTATAATCACAGTACTAGATCCTTTTTGAGCACTATTTCTCAGACTTTTAGGGCTTTTTAGCCATGTAGGATCCCGTTTTAGGCATGTATATACCGGATATTGTCTGGCAATGCTTAGTGTTCTCCTTCTGTTCTAGTACTTACCCTCTTGCTACTTTTATTTACTGGGTAGAATTGAGTATATCTCTGAGTAATCTGAGCTGCTCAGTAATTATTATATAATTAGGGTAATCTGTTTACTGAGTATGATTTTAGTATTTTGGTTTGTTTACTAAATCTGAGTACAGTATCTCTGGTCTGACTATCTTAATTTATTTACTAAGCTCCCTATTAGAGAGGAGCTAAGTTAGCAGACTTAATAAAATGTAATATACTAGCTCGAATCAGGTACTACTCCGTAGCTAACAGATCTTTTGTAGTTTTGATATCCTGCTATTTTCGCTATATTGAGTAGATAGATATAAATAGGAACATAAGATCTGCTTTTTGTATATGTTCAAATAATTGCTTCTGGGAGTGCCAGTGTGCTCCCAGGAATCCCTCAGGTTGTCATTGTATGTGCGCCAGCGATCTATCACTCCCGCCAAATCCGTACTCATAGTTGAAAATCTTCACCATTCCAGCTCGAATATCGAATCCGATAGGACCAATTCAACCATAGTGGCGTGAAACCTAAACCAAGCCCGTGAATAGCATCAAACACCCTTTCTCCCAGTAGTTTGAAGCAAGTAAATCATCGGAATCTCGGAACTAGACCCATCCTCAGACGAACTTGGGCTGAAAGTCAACAACGTTGCATGTGAGGGTAAGGAGCATAGGGCAGAACCAATAACGCAGAAACCAAAAACCAATGACAAAGAACGCAGGCCAATCATCGTGATTTTGGACAAGTTTCGCCACAATTTTGTATGGACTTTTGGCAGTCTGTCGACTCACAAAAGTTAGCATCCGAATAGTAAATTTATTGGATAAAGCCGTAAGGCTTATAAGGATTCAAGGTTTAATCCGGACAAGATGGGAAATGGCCGGAGCTTATTGAAACTTGATCGTTAAATATATATACACAAGTAAACCTGATTCCCGGAAAATAAATTCGGAATACGCTTATGCTGTTATAGGTCTGCCGCTCTAGTAGTTGTACAAACTCTAGTGGTAAGTTTAATGCCACTTCCAAGGATGTATTGCAATTATCATGTAACGATATAAGACTTACCTAGAACTAGGTCTGGCAATCTGTCAAGGTTGTCTGCCTTCGTCCCTTTTCGCCTTCCAATCTGGATTAGCTTGTATCCTTAAACCACATCTTTTAGGGCCCACACTTATTTCGTCGGATCCCTTTTGGCTCAACTAGTTATTATGCTCTTCGAGAGGCGCCGCAAACACCATGGTCGTAAACATGGCCGTGAAAGGGTTGTAAAAAGCTTAATATTTTGTCCAAATTTTAAGACGCAGGCAAATAATACGCAGGAGAACAAAAGGATTAGCCTTTTTCAAAGAAATGGGAGGAAGACTCTTTATACCTAGAGGCCTGCCACAGAGAACACAATTTCTAGGTTATCTTCGGGACTCCATCAATGATCATTGTTTAGTGGCGTAGGTGGAATGGAAAATAGCTTCTCACGACGGAATGTCGATCACTCTTTGTAACTTGGCTTATATTTATTTTGCGACTACACAGACCTTGAACTGGTCACACAGATCTGCAAATAATTGCTTATAGCCGTTCTTGAATTTGCCTTGACCAGTGCACACTCGGTGACTCTTCACCGACAAGGCCTTAATTGACTAGTCAATGTACCTTGATCGCCCACGCCCAGCCAGCCCAGTTTTGTCCCCTTGCCCTAGCTCCGTACTAAGACCGTCCGTATGTTAGTGTTAAAGACTGTGTTTGTGCTCAAGAGAGTCAATGGTATGGTAGGAGACAAAGATGCACCCCTTTTCTTATGGTTTGTATCGTCTCGTGCCCAATAGAAGTCAGAGAGAGGCGCCCACAGCTACACTAGCTACACCAGTGCGAAAAGCCATACTTAAAAGGACATTTAAGACAGTCGGAAACGGAGATCTAACAAGGAATTTTGACCGAAAGCAATATCGCTGTTGCATATTGCCAGAGGGATGATGTTCAATTTCGTGTGAATTAGGCCACCAACGGTATTGACACCGTATTGTAAAATACAGGCTTGGAGTCTCAATACTCAGCCAAGGCAATATAGGGGTATATTGTGATGAGTCGAATTCTTCATTCACCCTTTCAAGTCAGTGATGATTCATGCCTCTTAATTGTATAAATAAAGCCATAGTGTTAGAGCGTGTTTGTCCAACAAGTGTTATTATCATTCCATTCCTGTATTTTTGCTTACAATAAATCTCCCTTTCCTGCTACCTCACTCCCGAACGTCATGAAGGCTGTCGTACCTTTTCTTGCGTTCATTGTCGCCTGTGTAGCGAATCCTGTGCTCTCTCAGCGGCAGGACCAGTGTTCTGCCATCGCCGAGCAATGCAATGCGAAGGTTAGTGGTACACTATCGATTATGACATCCTTTGATTTTGTGCTGAATATTATGGGCATCCAAATATAGGAAACAGAGTGTCGAGCGCAGCAGGTAGATATTTTATGCCCTGTCGATGTTGCTCGATTCTGTCCTTGCTATCATGTAAGTTGTTCTAGCATGACGTTCTACCGTTCATTTAGCTAACAGGTCATAGGTTGCCAAGGACTGCATAGTAAGCCTTTTAATCGAATGCTGGTCTTTGTTCATAACTAATGGTAATTTCTTATAGAAGGATGCCGGGTGCTAATAGTCGTTTACTCGGTATTCTGAGGAAGCCGCAACTGGCATGGTCATGTTTAATGGGGCTTAAAACAGAGTAAGATGACGCTTTCTACCTATCAAAGATTATATAGCGTCTGCCATATGATTCAGCATCAAACCATGGTTTGACGCACGCGATATGTAATATACAGGCTGGCATTTAATAAAGAAGAAATTGATACCAAAACCCAGCGGCAGTCATGTACCTCTGATATTATAGTATACTAGTATATCTTGCCCCTCACGATAACTAGTACCACATGTCAGTGGGCACGATGCGTAAAGTGGATTCTCTACCAATTCTATCTGTATAGAATTGGTACTTTATATATATACTCTAGATCTATATAGAAATATAAAGAGAATTCTAGAAAAATATTGATTTTTAGGTTACATAAGTTTTGCATGTTTTTTGTAGGTTTTCTGGTAGGTTTTGACTTCGAAGCCTGAAACCCCAGAGCATATAAGATCTAGAACCCGCCCCCGAAAATCGCTGGGTTGGGGGTGGGTTCGGGGCGGGTTTAGCAGGGAACCCGATCAACTCTAGTCACGAGGCTTGGTATATTTAACCTGTTTTATATCTACTGGATATCCTCAAATGACAGATTTCTATCAAGCAGTTTCACCTATACACCATCAGAACATGATTACAAAATAGAGAAGGTTCTAGTTAAATGCGTCAGGATTTTCAATCCATATAATGCGAATAGCATGAAGGCGCGGAGGAAAAACGGGTAGACGGCGAGAATATATCCTGCCAAACCTTTATTTCACTGCTCATACTGGTGAACCTAGCAGGAGCAAAAGGAAGAAGAATAAGTACGGAGGAAGTAGGGTTTCGGGACTTATCAGGGAATCAAGATTGGTGAAGGGAGCGACAAGTTGGACGCTAAGCCCCGATACCATTAAATCTGTAAGTTTGTTACTGCTACTCTACTAGCACAACTTGTTTCTCACCACTTCATATCATAGCCAAGTTAAGGCTACAACGCAAATCAGTTAACCATGTTTGGTTCTTCTTAGTATAGAGGTAATAGGCTAGTCGTTTATTTCAACATATCACCATCATAGATTCTTCGTGCAGCATACGCGTTATGGGCTTACTGGCTTAATGCAGAAGTGTGGGTAATCTACATCAAGAGAGACATAGTAGAGTTCATCATCAGGTTAGACTTAACCAAAAACTATGATAATACTGGGGTTGGCAACGAAATTTTGAAATGAAAAAGCTGGAAAAGAAATCCAGATGTTGACTGATATTAAGGAATATTTTGTTCATCATGTTGCAGTATGACAGCAGCTGGCATTACTCAAAAGTATTTTTTGTCTGGTTGTCGACTCTATATCAAACCTAATGACTTCGAAATATATGCAATGATCCGCATTTCTCCATGTGTTAGGTAAAAACATTTTGATAGCCCTATCCTATGGGGGTAAATCTACTTGGACAGACTGGATTTATGGGTTTGGCTTTTGTATGGTGTCACGTAGAGAAGGATTGCCTGTCAAGTACAAAGCATGGAGTATCTCTTTTTTTCACTATCCGACGTTTCCTAACTACCATAGCAAGAGAATAGAGTATCATGGTTTCATTCATCAAACAGATTATAAATGTGTTCACAGCAGCTTATATCTAGCAGCAATAGTGCAACATACGACTATGAACGCAATAAAACAACCCACAATCCCAAAAAACCAGGCCAGTCCAGGCACATCCTGACCAGGGACCGTAACGTTCATTCCAAAAAGACCTGTCACCATATGCAGTGGAACGAAGATTGTGGCCAGGACGGTCACCTTGCTGAGGACTTCGTTGATGTTCAGACTCAAGCGTAGGTTATTGGCACTGATCTGCGCGAGGCAGTTTGACTGCGATCGACCGACGATCTCATCAAAGTGCGACAGACTTGACATGGTGGTTACCAGATGGTCTTGTACGTCACCCAGATACATGATTAGATCACCTTCGGGAAAGAGGGGTTTGTCTTTGGCCTGGCACCGCTTGACGAAGCCATTCAGGACGTCCACTTTACCGCTCAGAGCGCGAATAAGATACGTGATCTTTTTGCGGAGATTTTCGGCACGAGGGATGAGGGATCTAACGTCGTCTACACGGGCGATAAAGACTTGATCCTCGATGGATTCAGACTCACGTTCCACGGCTTGCATGTATGGTTCGAAGCTGTCGATGATATCGTCTCTGTGCAATAGTGTTAGAGATATTTAGAGTTTATGGAAGGCATGAGACATACATCAGGGCATAACAGACCCAATCACCTGACAAGATGGATGGATCAGGGAGACGACGAATTCGATCCCTAACCCGACTTATGTGTCCATTTCCACTAGGAGAGAAGGTCACCGCCCCATTCTTGAAGACGAGGATGTAACATCCTGCAGAGGAAGGTGTGGACGAGAAAATGCTTGCCGGAGACCTGGCTCTACCTTTCTCTTCACTTTCATCGGTAAAATTCACCAAAGTCTGAAACGAGATTAGATAGTAGTTCCGAAAGACCTCGACCTTCTCTCTTGGCTCACGCATGGTGATATCTTCCGCCGTCAAAGGATGGATAGACAGTGCCTGAGATACGATGTCGACATCCTGCTCGGTGGCATCGCGAATGTCCAGCCACCAGACATTCCCTTTAGTCCTTTCGCTCTCCTGCAAGTGCTTGATAAACTGGTCGGAGAAGATCTCCTCCCAGTTGGAAGACGAAACGACTTGTTGAGTCCGCGAGGAGAAATAGCTGAACCGTGGAGCCTCGTCGGAATACATTTTCAATACTCAAAGCGATGCTCTCTTGATAACGTGTTGATCATACTTCGATAATCATCTAGGAAATATCTGTCGGACCCGGTACAGCTGGGGACAACAGCGAAGGTGCAGCAAAGTTAACCCATCGAAGAACGATAGACATCGAATAGGTTTGAGGTGGAACCAGAGAGGATACAACGGAGGTTTTCATAAAGGAATGCTGGATACCCAACAATATCATTAAGGCTGATGTGTATGTCTGACCCTGGCAGATTCCTACACTGAGAGGAGGGGGAGAAGGGAAATAAGTGTTTGGGAAATGACTGGGAATAAAACGGCACTAAAAGCCAAGGAGAAGAAAAATGGAACCCTCGGAGGCAGCCGTATGAAGTGTGGTTACATGCATGAATCCGAACTTCCGTCTTGATTTTTCATGGCATTCATGGCATCCTCGGTTGCGGTTGATTTTATTTGCTCAGGGACATTGCCACATCGTTGATTGCCAACATGAAATGAATGTAGAAATTGCTCTTCACTTTCCATCCTCCGGAATGTCAAATTTTAGCATGAAATATTATAAATCGAGTCCTCGCTTCACCAGGTCAGAACGTTCGTTACAATGTGGGTGCCTATGAAGGACCCGGCATAAAATTTTTAATACAGCAAAGCGACGTGACTTTCGGGAAGACTCCGTCTGGCCGTCCCCATTTGGGGTAACCAAGTGGGCCATCTGCCTTATAGGGCTGAGTGCATTCAGAAGGGAATGGATGAACCAGAGCCAAGTGGAATATGCGATGTACTTCGTACAGAGCAGTGCACGAATCAGTCGTATTGCATATTTAATCCGTCGTTTCGTTGCTGAGTTGGAAGACAGACGTTGTACATGGGTAGAGGTCGGTTGTGAAAGTGTAAAACTCGGTAGGGTTGCTTGGCTGTGGAGACCAAGAATGTCGATGCCTAGTCGACGTAAGGGGTACCTTGGGGGCAGTACACTCCGTACAGCGTGGAAGACACAGGGGCTTGTTCCTCGAGAATTTTGTAATTAAGCTAATGCTAAAAGTTGATATTGTAAATGCTGCTCTCGCGCTTTGTCCTGGGACCATGACTCCCAGTTCCATCTCAAGCGCCGAGACCTGCTCGCTAACCCAGCACAGGAGGTATGCGGGATGGAGGTTCGAAATCGGAAACGGACATTCGGCGGGCACCGGGCGCACTTTTTCGAGCCTGCATTTGAATAAGTCTTTGTCATATTTATTGCCGTTGTACATTTTCGGACTTTTGTGTCAATGTAGGTTAATTTACCATGGTAATAGACACTTTAATGGGATGGCACTGCATTTGAGTAGTGTTAATATCACAAATCTTTATGAATACAAGAAGTATATCAAGATTGGCTGCATTGAGTAACCTGCCTAGATCATTGATAATCTAGACCACTAAGCCTAGCATTCCGAGTCATATCAAACCTGAAAAGTTGCAGCCACTTACAAGGTCTAACCATGCCAGAGAACCCGCTAGATTCACGTCATCTCTTCGTCTGTTTTGTATACTATGTATATAGTTTCTACGGTACCAAGACGTTTATGATAGACGTGTTTGTGTCACCTTGATGGCAGTCAAGCAGGCGGCTGAAGTGGGCAGAATGACAAACGGCGCGAGTGTCAGCTTCATATTTGCTGAGCTCTTCACACACAACTGATTTCTATGATGAGCACTCAACAAGACTCACAGTACATCATCTCCTTTGTCCAAGTACTCAAATCACTGCTCAGTGTCACGGAAGCAAGCAGAATGGTGACCAGGGGTATCCGATGGGCCTCTCCTGGATTTTTTGTTTGGATTCTGTAAGGATTTCGATAGCTCTTGGAATTTGGAGCGACTTGACATTTTACTGATTGCTCATTACCTCATTGTAGGGTTGTTCATGCAGTGGGGCTCTATTTTTTCACCAAGGGCTTCCTGTTATCACGAAGGGTGCTGGAGAACTCCAGCACGTGTACCCGTCCCCTACTGCCAGCATTCCCAAGATATGAATCCTCCTATCTCCAATCTACTCAGAGTGGATGCTGGATGCCCAGATCCTTCGACAAAGCCGTGATCTTGGTTATTGATGCGCTACGATACGACTTCGCGGTGCCACATGCACCACAGCCATCTGGAAACGATGCTTATCAGCCTTTCCATAATGCTCTTACCATACTACACGAGAAAGCAACGCAAGAACCCCAAAATGCAGTTCTCTTCCCATTCATTGCGGATCCCCCTACAACAACCTTGCAGCGGTTGAAGGGATTGATGACAGGAACACTGCCAACATTCATCGAGGCTGGTGCCAATTTTGCCGGTTCCGCCCTTTCAGAGGATAATTTCGTGACGCAACTACAGAATGCAGGAAAGAGGCTGGTGCATCTCGGGGACGATACGTGGACAAAGCTGTTTCCCAATCATTTCTTACCCAATCTATCTCAAGCGTACGATTCCTTCCTCGTTGCCGACCTCCACACGGTCGACCAGGGCGTTGGGGAGCACCTTATACCACTCATTAACCATCGCCAAGATGAATGGGATGTGATTTTTGGCCATCTTTTAGGCGTCGATCACGTTGGTCATCGGTTCGGCCCCGCACACCCTGAAATGCGCAATAAACTGAAGGAAATGGACCACGTCATAGGAGAGGTTGTCAACTCTATCGACGAAAACACGTTACTTGTCGTTCTAGGTGATCATGGAATGGATGAACATGGAAACCATGGCGGCGAAACTGAGAATGAGGTACAGGCGGCGTTGTGGATGTATACTCGGCGCAGGCATTTTGGTCATTTACTGGTGCATCCACAGGAGCCGGCCTCGTTTCTTAACAAGTCAGCCATCTATCAAATAGATCTTGTCCCGACCTTGTCGCTCCTTCTGGGAATCCCCATTCCCTTCAATAGCCTAGGGTGTCCTATCAAAGAGGCTTTCCTTGGAGCAGCTGGGGATAACTGGGCGCAACTGGTGCATGCATACATGCTATCCTTTGCACAAATTGAACGATTCCACCGAGAATACTCAATAAAAATGAAAAATTCCCGGCACGCCCTAGAGCACAACCCTACGAATTTTCCTCGGAGTGTCTCTTTGCAAGAAACTGATTTTCAGGACAAAGAGTCTCTGAAGACATTATACCACGAATTATGTGACTACCAAGGAAATATATTGGAGCATTACAAACGCATATGGGCGCAGTTCAACATGGCGTACATGATAGAGGGGCTGACAATCCTGTCATTTGGAGCCGTCGCACTGTTACTTCGTGTTTGCGTGTGGGGCCAATGCAATCTCATCCCCAGTGCTTCTTCTAGAGCAATCAAAATGGCGGCTGCGACATCCATAGTGACTTATTTGATTCATATTGTTATAGTTGATCCAGAGGAACCTCGCATGACGGATGGTGTGATCCTGGGGGCTACTATGAGTAGTCTCATGCTGTTCACCTGTCGATTTCATCTGCTTGGGATGATCCACGCACCCACGAAATTTCAGATGCCGACGTTCTTGGACACAATAGCGATTGCATTTACTATTCTACTCTCTATCGGGTTTGCGTCCAATTCGTACACTATATGGGAAGGTCAGATTGTACTCGCCTTCCTTGCAACATTTGGTATATGTACCATTTCAATGTCATATAGGACCTTGGACAGGAGAAAGAGTATACTAGGGGCTCTTCTCTCCGTATCATTCATGGTACTGGTCAGGGTAGTGTCACTAAGTCGTTATTGTCGGGAAGAGCAACTTCCATTTTGCGTAACGACTTACCATCGCCTGGGTAACACCACGAGCTGGAAGCTGCTCATCCCGTATTTGATAGTCATACTCATTCCATTGGTCACTCAAATAGCCTTTGGTTCAGACTTGGTATCTGAAAACCTGGGGGTCTGGACATGGTGTCACATTGGCATACCCATGGCACTTTTCTTCAATGCTGTGTATTGGACCCTTGATTTTGCCAATAGAAATGGTTGGCTCGAAGGTAGTTCCTTCAACATGTTATCTAAGGGGCCTCCCATTTTCTTTTCACGGGCCACTCTAATCACTGCAATTGCTGGCAGTGGAACGGCCCTCACCACAGAATGGACTACGATTATGACTCCTGTCCGATACAATATGATCATCACTACATCCATCTTAGTAATTAGCATTTTAGTGAGTGGTCCAATGGGAGGTGGTTCTTTGTCCATACTATATTTCCAGATCCTGAGCCTACGCAAACTGCTCAATCACTCTCAGAATAATAGTATAGGGCCTACAATTGCTGCGCTTTTAGGAACCCTTCATTTCTTTGGCACCGGCCATAATGCAACCCTCTCCAGTATCCAATGGGAAGCTGCGTATATCCTATCCCAGGACCTTCACTATCCTTGGTCCCCGTTGCTTGTGACCCTCAACACCTTTGCTGGTCCAATTGTCGCTGCATTTTCGATCCCTATAATCATATCACGAGGTGTACACCCTCAGGAAGTTCATAGTGTAACCAGCTCATTCGCAATCCATGTATTGATCTACTCGGTATGGGCGTTGTCAACGGCAATATGGGCTAGTGTCCTACGACGCCACCTAATGCTCTTTGCTATATTCTGCCCTCGATTCTTGATGGCCGGGGCCCTACTGCTGATCATCGATGTTATCGCGATAATAATTTCATTGATCACTGCAGTAAGCACTAAATGAGAGGATAGGGTTTCGTGGAATCAAAACACCAAACAATCAAGCAAACAATCATGTCGGATAACACCTTGCCACAAGTCATTCCCGAGAAAAGGGCACATCTCGCAATGGCTCTCTGGTTGTTGAAAATGGAGAGCCACTTGAAAGCAATTGGGTCCGGAAAAGCACCCAGCCCAACCTAACCCAACATATCCATTCAAGGAGGCGGCGCATAAAAGCTGGTTAGCTAGCACCAATGTGTGTAGCATGCCTGTTTGGGCAAAGACACCTAGTCAATTGCTTGTGCTCCACATATTTAAAATCTATTCGACTCACCCGACGGCATCTTTCGTTGTGACTTCCACAAGACTATCAAATTACCGTTAGTACGATCCTGCCCGCAAAGTGATGGGAGGATTCTGTACCCTGAGACACTTATTGTATCGAGTGATGTCACGGCAATATGCCGGGGCAGCTTCAGCGTCCGTTGAAACAGAATCATCTGTCTCTGCCTCTGCTGGAGCACCAATAGCCAATGCTGCAAACAGAAGGGTCAAGGGTATGTAGAACTTCATTCTGAGCACAGAAAACGGTGTCAATGAATTGTTCCAATGGCAGGTAGATCTGGTTTTGAAGTCTCGATCGTTAGAGAATACAAGAAATCTCTAAAGGAGGCATGAACCCGCATAGTTATAGACAATGTCTGAAGGCTTCCCATGCGCAGACAGAAGGAAACGCGGGGAAGTAAATGTTTGAATGTAACATATAAGCTGACATTGTGGCACGTCAAATGCAGCTCAGTGCCCGCGAACGTCCGTATCGATTTGTTGGTAAGAGACAATACTACTCTCCAGATAGCCTAAGCTGTCTATGGCCGTCCTTGTGCAGCCTGTCCTCCTGGTAGCCTCCAATCACGATATCTCCGAGCCAACATGGGATGATAGTACAAGTGACATTGCGTGTCACAGAGCTTCCCCGCCTCAATATCATATAACTTTCTGGAAGAGACTCTTACGGTATGAGTTAGGACCAACGGAATCTAGATCTATAGCACTTCAAATCTTGTTCAATTGTGGCTGATGTGCAACAAAGTTGCCGGGACAATCTCATTACCTAGTTCGTCACTCCACAGGATCCAAAGGGTCTCTCTCTCTGTCCAAGCCATGGACCCATTGGCAATGAACCATGTATCACTGATCCGAAGGGCATCAGGTTCCACAGTCGATGAAGTACAGGTAGCATCATCTCTTATATCGAGTCTTGGACACTTTTGACAGACACCAAGAATGACCACGCAACTTCAACTCCCCGATAATGAAGCTGTTCCCATGGGTGGACGCCACTCTTTTTCCACTATATTCACTTCCACTCTTAGTCCAGATAACGTGAGAATTGGCGGACTTGCAGCCGGTTACGCTTTCCGGAGGTGAACGAGCCTTTGGGATTGCAACAGAGTTTTTTTTTTTTTTTTTTTTTTTTCGGATGTTTCTGCAAGCAATCGCCTTGTCATGTCAGCGAATCCATCTTGCACTGGGCGAGAGTCACCGTTTCTCTTGTCTGCGCCTGCAGTGTTCAGGGGGGCTCACTCGGAACCTTTGCTCCGTGCGAGTTGATGGTGGATACTACCTTCGGACGCGACGTTATATTGCGTGTTAGATTGATGATTACATATCATATGATAAGATGCCCAGGCATTTTGTACGACAAACGTCGTATATGTATTCCTTTTCGTGAGCCTGGACGGTAGTTGAATCTAACATTGCGGAGAATTAAATGTCTTGGCCAGGGGTAAAACTCCGAGACATTGGCCAAGGTCATCAGACATCCCTTGTGTTGCATGGTAGATAAGGCTCACTGACAGTATCCCTATTTTGGATATAATGTGGTTATACAAAACAGGACATTGGCAGTGGTATGGCATGTATGCGGTATGTAAGTACATACAGTGTCTCACACACACACACACACACACACACACACACACACACACACACACACACACACACACACACACACACACACACACAAAGTAAGAAGCCAAACGAAATGTCAGCATGCAGCATGACAGACTACTGAGAAGACAGGTGTAGTATGACTGAGGCTGCTGCTTCTACTCCCAATGTTCAGATTTCGGACACAGAGCCTGGTCCACTCCATACTCTAGACTTTCAGGCGTACCATAAAGCAGAATAGAAGTGATATCCACATTTGTCTGCTATAAGTCAATCGAAGCAGACACCAATCTACCCTTAAATATAGATACAGTGCATTTATAGTCAGGAAGACATGTTATTTTCATATTAAATTTTTATCATGATCCGGAAGTCATTGCCGTAGCATAATAGCAACAATAGTGCATGGTTTTACCACAGAGTACCAGTAAGATACAGAAAAGGAATATAGTGAGAGATGCGCCACAAAACGAGAGCTCCAGCTACTGATGAAAGGTACGATAGAGCTGTTAAATACCGGGAAGATATAAGTGTTTATATTATTCTTCTATTACACCCAAGAAACGTTTCTGATTCCAATTTAGGTGGATGATGACACAAAATAAACCTGAAGACTGATAATTCTCAAAGCTAGAACCTGATCCTCGTAGCCAGGTCTTGAAGCTCTCAAAAAAGAGCTTCATCTGTCTACGTGAAGGAGATATACCTTCTTAATACGGGAAAAATATATACTCGCAATTAAAGAATACTTCCGAGATAATAAATTAACCTACTCCAAAATTTAATCCTTTTCGAACTACACTTGTATAATTACCTAAATATGTACCTTTTAAATTTCCATAAGTAGATTCAAGGATAAGGTCTATAGAAGAGAATCCAGTCATAAAAGGTTGCAGCTGCTAAGCTTTTGTACTCTTCCGATCTCCCCCCTCCCTCGCCTTCTTATCCATGGACTTCCAGTCAGGTGGTTTTATCGGTACAACAACCTCTTTTGATCTGGTCATAGTAAGAAAGACTTATCCTTCCATAATTTGATTGTATAGCAACTTAATACTTATCATAACAATATTCCAACTACTTCCTTGCCATATCTGCTAAATGGGACGGATATATCGGATCAGAGCGGTCCGGCCCAGCTGCCAGGTAGCAAATCACTTCCGCCAGCCCTCTGTACAAGGCGACTGGGATGAATTGAGGAAGTGGACATGGGACAGATAAACAGCATTACGCATTCAAGGATCTCACGAATCATCGATCACCACGAGCATAACCCACTACAGGTAGTAACATTGACAAATCTGCATGTCATAGTTGCATCGCCACAAGGTTCATATTTTCGAATGTCAAATAGATGTCAGCTTTTAGCGCGTGACCACCCACCAATAATTCTCTCTTAGGGGCAGCCAGCTCAAGGAACTGGCAAGGCGTGGGCAGCAGCAGAGCAATCGCACAACCCTAGGTCAGATAGCTCCAGTGATTTAACCTAACTATATAGCTCAAGCAATTATTGGCAAGCAATTCAACCTACCTAGGTTAGGCTTAACCTACCTATATGAGTCAGGTAGTTCTAGCAATTATCAGAAAGCAATTTTAACTTATCTATATAGATTAGGCAGGAGTCGCAGGACTGATTGAACACAGATCAGATTATATAAGTGGAAGCAGGAAAAAATAGTTATCATGAGTGAATTCAATAATTAATCAGAATCTATACGTTTTAGTCAATTAGAACCTAGGTCCTTTCGCGCAGCCTTCTCTTCTATATTACTTGCTTCGCTTTGCTCCGCATAGACGAGGTTACAGCTACAGCGGAATTGAAAAACTCTGTGGCCGGTGAAACGACATTCGTGTTTGACCCTCCCTATGCCAGGGTGCTGTTTGCAAAGGGAATGAACAGGCACAACCCGGAGCTCAAACTGCCTGAACATAAGCCTGCCGATGATTGGTTGGTGACCTATAACCTGGACAATATACCGTTGCAGACGGGTGGAGGATAGCGTGTGTTCTTCTTTGCTCTGTTTTTGTATTCTATGGTAGCTAGAACTCGTGGGTCTTGGGCGTATAACCAGAGGTTTCTCCCAAGCTCTGAGGGGAGACAAGCTGTGGAGATTTCTTTATCACAATTCTACTTCTTCTGAAGGCCCAAGTCCGCTAGACTGTCACGGTGTTCTATTGATCACATTTGATCCTTTCATCAACATAGATAGGTTTAGAGTGAAGAGTAGAAGTCTATGGTATAAAGGTAGCTTACTTTGTGTTAGAAACTAATTACAGGAATTCTATCACTCAGATCTTCGCTCTACGTAGAGATTTTCTACCGTAGCTCGTCCCATCAACAGCTAACTGGCTTATAGGATCCAAGGTACAAAATTTGAGACATGAGACAGCGATTTCCACGAACATACAGTGTATGTTCATATGCTAAGAAGAAAGACATATAGAGATATGAGCCCTCAGCTGCCCATTCCCAACGGGCAATAGTCTGGAAGATGCATATTAAGAAGTACTACAAGAAGTTAAGTCCGTATTAAAGGCTCTTGTTAGGGTTGGGAGTAGTTCCGGAGTAGATCACTTTTTTTGAGAGCAAGGATACGACTTGAGGACGATGGACCTGTTTATTCCTATGGAGTAGGAACTATTCGGAAAATGATTCCTCAACGCTGCCGGGTCGAGCCTGCGTGATGCTACTAGACTCTCTTAGCAGTGTCTGGAGTATCACTAAACCCAGATTGAAAGTACATATTATATACTATATGATCAGCCTGTCTTGGAAGGATTGTCAGCTTCAACATGTAGCGTCAATCTTGAGTCTATCGCAAGCCATGGCTTCATGACTGCTAAACTTGCTGCTATGGTGTGAGGATCTAGAATGTACTAAGTGTTGTTAGAGGGAGCACACATCGTTTCTAAGTGTATACTGTAATCTGGGCTTTGACCCACACAGACAGTGGTTTTCAAAATCCACATTATTCATTTATGTACATGTGGATATCCAGGTTTCATTAGTTGTATTAGTGGGCATGGTCGGCGCTGATGAGGTTCAAAGTTTAGGCGTATATGTCATTGTGGCAA